TAACTACAAACTCACCTTTTCCTAGAGAGATCCAAGCAGGCGGTCAGGGGGAACACAAGAGCTGTTTGTCAAAGACAGTCCCAGAGGTGTGTGTTCCCACTGCCGTCCTTCATCTTTTACAATGTGGCAGTTGACTCAGTCATTTTTCTGGCACATAGTGAATGATCTCCGTGGGCCAAACTGAACTCTCAGCTCTCTCTAGGAAGGCCACATCTGGAGGGACTACAGAAAGCTCAGGGCTTTCTTCTCCAGCAGAAAAACCCAATCTCTCTACAAGTAGACACTCAGAATTGGGTGCAAGCCAAGGGACGACGTGTTAGATCACTTAAAAAGAATACACGCCTGTGGCAAACCCAATAGGCACTTAGAAACCCAGCCTGTGCCCGAGAGGTGAAGAGCACAGCAGAGTAATCTGCACTTACCAGAGACAGTCAAGCTGGCTTCACTTTAGGAGAAGAGAAAGTCATCCAACATGTATTTCTAAATATTTTCAGCCTGATGCTTAAGACCTTAGGAAATTAGGTAGTTTGCATCAAAGCTGAAGGGTAAACTAGGAGACGCGGTTACAATCCCTCTGGATCTCAGCACTGAACTGTGCATTCTCACTGCTTGCCTGACAAGGACAGGAGGTACTAGCCACTGTCAGAGGCAGGACAGCACACCTGATGGACGGAACGCTTGACCTACTAGGACAAATCCTGCGTAATACCCAGGATTCAGTTACTTTCAAGAAGGAAACAAAAATGTAGGATGCAGGAAAATCCCATGATTCTAATTTAGGAAATACCAAAGGCCTGTGTTATAAAAGCAACAGGCAAATGGCCACATAGGCTTCACAACACTGGTAACAAAATGAACTGCCAAAGCCCCCACTGGTCCACGTGAAGATGGAAGCAAGAATCTGCAGATCACCAAAGATCAGACAAACCAATACGGGCAAGGTCGGTTAGCCATCAGACCTGAGTTTCCTTGGCTAACCACAGTATTCCTTCACTACCACTACTAAGAATTTTAAATTATCTGGCAGGGTTGATCAAGACACAGCTAAGAATAAGGTTCTGGGCTCACCTGGGCCATGGTGTGCCACACTGCACGAACACGAAATTTGAAAATTCTGCTGACAGCCTCTGCTCCACCTCATCCTACCTCTCCTTCTTACACTTCCACACAAGTATTTAATAGGATAACTAAATGCCAGGGTAAAAAATAAAAACTCGTCCGGTGACACCTGGACTCTCCACGCTGGTCCCCATTTCTGAAGCTAAAATATATACGCTGCTGATCTTGCTGAGTGCTACATACCAGAGTGAGTAACAAACAGATTTCTAGTCACGACAGGAAAAGAGTTTCAACTTGGTTTCCATGAGAAGCTGGAACTCCTGTCTTTCTCATTTCCAACAGGGCAGATAACTGAGGGACAGGAGCAGCAATGGCAGTCTCTCCAGAAGATGAAGGACTCTGAGTACCTCTGACTTTCTAACTGCTGAGAGAACCACCTAGTCCTGACGACCAGCATCAGGACTTGTAGGGTATCTAATCTACGGCTGCTCATTCCTAAGGACAAAGAATACAGGATTCTCAGAGGCTAGAGCCAGGCCTCAAAGCCTGCCTGGTGATGGCTCGGTCCCACAAAGCAATTTTATAATACTATGCTTTAAAGTCAGGAAATAAAAACAGAGACAGGAAAACTGTAAGTCAGCCTAAATAATGCAGCTATACAATTTTGCTTCCATGTGACATGACGTATATGGTCAAAGGGAAAGGAAGATCAGGTTATGTTTTGTTCCACTGCATACAGAGTAGGTATAAAGTTAAAAAAAATAATAAAAGAATACATCCCTTCATCCCTTTGCAGCAATTCTAAGAGTCGGTATGACACTGGCTGATACAGAAAGAAAGGTTACTTTAAAGCTATTTCAAGGGGTTAACTGACAATGAATTACGGTTCAAAGAAAATAATTTTCTAATCAAATTCTAATCTAAAAGGAATATGGAGGAGAAATCTTCCATTTATTATACATAGTAAGAAGCTCATTCAAAATTAATTTAGTATCTGAATTTTATGGTACATATCCCAGAATTTCACTGGTTTGGTTAATTTCTAAGTAAGTCATCAATGAGAAGGAACCACGGTAACACACAGTGGGGAGAAGTTGAAAGCAGTAAGCAGTGACGGTGCAACTCTAAAGAAATATGTGTAAGAGTAGTTGAGGATGTTTTTGGCCTTTTTTGTATGTATGAAAGGAAATAAAGGAGTGTTTAGAAATAAGAATCTTCCACTCCTGATTTCTCAACCTCCAAACCTACAGTTTGCAGGGAGGTACTCAGGAGAAGAATGAAGAACTTCAGCCTCTTAGGAATGAGTTCCAAAGCTACACCAGGGTGTCAAGGACACAGTCTCCATCATGCCACAGGGGAGACACTTACCGCAGCGGCACGATCCCAGTTCCTGCTGCACCAGCTCCAGTTTGGTTTGGCACTGGAAGCACCGACGTCGACTTTTCTGTTTAGATCGGCTGGTCTCCTCGGATCGTTCAGTATTCTCCAGTAGTCGTGGCCGTTTCACTGGTGAAGCTTCATTCTCAGACTGTGAATCTGAACAAAACAACACATTTGGGGGTCAGGGTTAGTGCTTGGCCCCACAGACACAGCTGATGAATGTATTGCCAGGCATTCTTCTGGCCAGACTACTGCCCTTTTCTAGGAACCGGACCTGTGTGAGCAAGAGCCAGTCTGACTGGCCTGGTTTATGCTGCACAAATTGTGACAAGCATGTACCTTCAGAGCTGACTTCTAACAAGCCAGGCCTGAGCTAGGAGAGGAGGGTGTGGTGGCTCATCAAACATCAGTTCTATGTTGTTTTTAAAAACGGCGCTTCCTACAAGGAGACCGTCTGAGCTGGAGATGGGATCCTCTCTCTACACTCCTTCTTTGCGCCCTAGTTGTTTACTGCTTGTATCGGTTATTTATCTCTTCTCAAATCTTTGTCCTCAAGTAGACTGTAATTCACCAGAGAAGGGACTATGTCTACTATTTCTTTACAGCAACATGCTTAGCACAATTCCATACCTAAAGTCAGTGTTTCATGAGCGACCCACAATCTTTTCTAGTAAAAATGCTCAAGTTTTTAATTTCTAAGCAAACTAAACACACAAGAATCAGGCTCTAATACTGAAAACCATCCCCACTTTACTCAGAGTGAAGAAGTAGCCTTGCTTGTTCACAAGCAAGCTGTCCCATGGCCTCTATAGTGGGGTGGCAGAGAGGCAGCACTTGGCACCAAAACCTAGGGTTGGTGCCAAATTAGCAGGTGGAGGGAGGTACAGTACGTGACAACTTGTGTTTTGGATAGCCTTAAAAAAGTAAAATGCAATATAGTTCGTGTCATAGACAGGCTGTAAATAACTTTTGCCTTCAAAGAAAAGGCAACACTTGAGGGGCTCTATATTCCTGGAACTGCTGCATACTGAGCATGTACCTCTTGCCAAGGTTCCAAAGTGATTTGCGCTAAACCACCTCTGGAAGGGAGTTTCCTAAACGATCTTCAAAACAGATCCAGATCCCCGCCCTCTGCACCCCTCCACCACCACCACGCAGGTCTGAGCCATCAGCATCTCATCCAGCCTAGTAGGAGAGCCTCTTAACTGGTCTCCCTGCTCTTCCCCTGGTCCCTATAGTCTACTCTCCACACAGCAGCCAAGTGATCCTGTTAAAAACAAACTTAGAATCACTTCACTCTCCTGCTCAAAACCCTCTAATAGCTCCCCTTCTCGGAGGAAAAGTTCAGATACTTCCTACGACCCTCAGAAAGGCCCTGCTTGCTGACATGCCCTCATCGAGACCTCCCTGTCCTCAGCTCCTGTTGCTCTCTCTCTGCCCCACCCACACGAGCCTCCTCACTGTCTCCCACCTCAGGGCCTTTGCACCTTCTGTTCCCATGTCTGGAATGCTCTTCACCCAAATCGACAGGAGATTTCATCTTTTTTAAGTCTTTTAAGCCACATTTTCAATGAAGATGTCTTCCCTGAGAACTCTATCTAGATCACTCTTGCCCTCTTCCCATAGCCCTTCCCTTCCTCCCTTTTCCTTTTATTCCACCACAGCACTTATCTTTTTACATTGTCATACAGGAGGATGTAAACTCCTGGAGGGCAGAAGTTTCACCTGCTTTGTTCACTAATATGTCCTCCATGCCTACAACTCAGTATTTCTTGAATGAATAAATACCCTAGGCAGTCCTGACTTTCTATTTAACGTGGCTCTAGTGAGAAGCAGCAGATTGTTGGCTGTATTTCAGTGAAGGCTGTCTGTATCCCCTTCCCCAGCCCCTCTGTGTGAAGACGCTGCACTTTACCCAAATACTCACTGGCCTGACAGTGATGATGGTTAACAGTGTGCTTTACAGCCTCCCAGCGCAATACATTGTGCAGACTTTCAGAAGGCACACACCACTCTTAGCAATTGTAAACTTCATTTTTCGTCTCATTTAGTTCTTCCAGTCCTACATGACATTTTCCCCCAATACAAACCAACTAAACAAGGCCTTTGATGAAAACAATTGAAAGCAAGTTTAGCCTATTTCCCAGCTCTGCTGAGCAAAGCTGTCCAAACTCGGTTGGTGTGATGACTGAGGCAGCTAGACACACCAGGCCCCCTCCTCCTTCCCCTACAAGTGCAACAAGCAACAATCTAAATGTAAATCATTACAAAGCAGCCAGCCAAAAGGAATCCACCTGGTTTGAGCCACATTGCTCTCCAGGGGGTCCTTCTTTATAAGCCAGCAATGGCACTATTTGTATTAATCACCCTATTTAGACTTTTTCCCCCGCTTTGGGTAACAAGAAGAGAAAATTCTAGAGTAAAAGCCATAACTGAAAAACGGTGTTTGTTTCAAGACAAAGTACTAAATCTGGAGCAGTTGTATAAGAAATCAGCCTCCAACCCTGGGAGATGAGGTGGGGAGAGGAGAGAGATTAGGGTCCACACAGGAGGGGGTGGTAGCTGAAGCTTTTGCCTTATTAAATTGTTAAAATCCAGAGGGCCCCTGACATGATGCCGGTGCCCCTCTAATGTGAAGGAGGCCGCTCAGACCCTCTTTCATTTGCATTGCGATCTGACAGAACTGAGCGTGTGTCTGGAAATGGAATGTTCAAATTCTAAGCTGTTTCCTAGATGAGTCTGTCCCAAACTGTCAAACATGCTGTCTTCCTGTATAGCACCCATCTCAATTCCTAAAGCAAACCTCTGCTACAAGAAGACAATTTACTTTCAGTATGGCAATGCCATCCATGGCTAACTATTTTCAAATAAGCAAGAGAGTGGTATGTGAAGACAGTATTTTTAAACATATGATTCCTAAGACTGGGAAACAGAATTCATATTTATATAATCATAATCATCATTGGTAATCACCAAACAACCCAGTTAATGAAATCTGCACACCCCAAATTAGGAGACCTGTCAAAGTCTGATCTCTTTTCTTCTAATTCCCCACCTTGTCTGACCAATGAGCACTGCATTCAGTAACAAAAGTAAGGAATAAGTCTGCACGGTCTAATGCTGAAATTTTCCTTTATCCATGCCACATTATATATGAAGACAACTGGGTTATTTGTTCTGGAAGGCAGGAGGCATGGGATGTTCCTAAAACAATGGGTCCTAGGGGAGGTCTCTGATGCTGCCAACAGCTTCTGGCTGCACTGCATTGGCCATCTTAAAGGAACACCACTCAGCTCTAGTCAGTCCTCTGAGAGTCAATGTCTCAGCATCTTACAAGTCCAAGACCAAAGGCATTCACGTACAGAAAGCCTGAGCCACAAGAAGCAGTCCTCAATCATTCTAAATGAAGACGAACAAAATGTTTACAAGAATGTGTTATTTTTTAAAATCAAGGAACTGCTCCCAGACATGAAGAGATTTGTTAACTTTAGCACTCTAGAATATGCGCACTTATCCTTCACTCAGTCAATGGTCTGTTCAATGGAAAGGAACCCCTGTGCCCTCTACTGCTCCCTACCACAAGGAGGGAGGGAAAATAAACTCCCTAAACCATCTACCACCCCTCCACACACTGCCATCAAGGAAGGTGACTGTGTTATATACAACTTCTTGGCAAAGCAAACCACTCTTTGGCATTTCCTCACAAGTCAACTTGGTGTTTTAATTAGAAGCTAATGAAATAAATAGCAGTCTATGGGATCGTCATCATGTCTGCATAAGAAATTTACACCTCCTCTGCTAATTACTTAATGAAGCCTGTGCCTAAATGAGAAAAAACAGATGTCCAGAACAGGGGTTCTAATTACATAATAATAAACTAAATAATTCAACTATTCAATTATAAATTTAATGCCAATTTTAGCAGGACTCCAGAAAGAGAAGATCCAAATATGGTCAACACAAAAGGAACCCTCATCTACTGTCTATATTTGAATAAATTAAATTCTGATTATTTACTTTTTGCTGACAAACATCGTTCTTGTTACCCTGAAGCATTTTTAACTTTCTCAACAATGAGGGAAAACACCTAACAGTCTACTTGCATAATGTGACTTGGGTAGAAAGGGTTAAATGTAGGGAGAAAGGTGAACAGAAATAACTCTCACATGCAGCCTCAACTGTCAGAAGAAACGCTTCCTTGCAAGGAGCATGCTCATTAGCAGCAGGAGGAGCTGTAGCAGCGAGCTAGAAACTGTTTCCACCCCAGGAGTTAGGAGTGACTTCTAATTAGGTCCTTCATAAAGGGCCAACAAAGCACATTTTTTTTTTCCAGTAAGCTTTTTCTTGAGAACATACTCTAGTCTGTGTACACCCATACAAGAGCGGACCACATGCCCACACCAGGCTCACAGTTCTTGATACTCACCAGACCCCCTCCTCTTCCTCTGACTAGGTTTAACAGAATGAGGAAGATATCACATCAAGTCTTCTAGTCAAAGGAAAAGTCTGATCAAGAATCATAATGTGATTAAATGAGAAAGTCTTAAGAAAAAATATTTCACCTATCAGTTTCCTAGGTATGAAGGTAACCACTATTTAATCTGTGACAGAGAAATAAGTATAGTGATTTTAAAAAACATATAATCCTCTTAAGAGAAACATTCTTCTAACTGTACCTTCCTAGCTAACAGCAGAAATAGTGGTTAAGACTTTCAATTTAGGAACACAGTTTAATGGAAAACTTGACTGGAGATAACAAACAGACCTGCTTCTTTTAAAATTCTGTTGTCTCTGACAGAAATTCACATTTGTTCCTAACTGTCACTGTTCTTGTCTTTATTACTCGTGTTCTCTCCTGAAAATTTCCAAATAAACTGTGTCAGGCCTGTCAGAGTTGAATCCCAATCTCTCTTAATCTGTCACTGTGCAGCTGGCAGCCCGCACACAGCCTGGGCTGCTAACCACGGCCGTGGCTCTGACGTCTCAGGCAGGCTCCGGACCCTCTGTACAAGTGAACACTCATGGTCCAGAACAGGAGGGGGGAGAAGCAAAGCGGCAACAAAGAGAAGGACGTCTTCCATTCGCTTCACCCACACCTTCCCCTCGCTTCTAAGAAAGAAAGATGAATCTGTTTAATCTCAGGCCTTGTGACAGCT